TTGCTAATGTTGAAGCTTCACAGCTGGACTTCCATTACTAATAGGAGACGCCAAGGTCCACTAATCTAAAGGTTGGTGGTTTCATTCGCAGATCTTATAGTCACATGTTGAATAGCATTTTGGTAAGATAAATTGCTCCCAAATTACCTGTCATTATTTGTGTGTTTTAAATAGAATTGTACCTATAGTCTGCTTTTCTATTCAATTTGAGCACTCAAAGGGCTTTCTTATACAAGCCTCATCCAGCCAGTCACACAACTGCCTTTTTCTTAGTCCATTTATACAGTAAAAGATTTTCAAACTTAACAGAGTTTGAACTAACCGGCCATGGTTAGTTTTGAGTTTGGGCTAGCATAACTAATGTAAACTGGTTATCATGTTTGTGTCTTTTGATCCCCAATGTGTTCCTTGGACAAAACAACACTTTACATGAACAAGAAAGAGGTGGGTGTTTCCTTCTTCTTGCTAGTTAACATTATCTGTTATCTTTGGTGTTGGAAACTATAATTAAAACTAAAATTAGATTGAAACATAACGTTGTTGTTTTCACAGACTAGAACTCAGACCGCAGAACCCCAGCAAAGTCAGACAGCTGCTGATTACAATCTAAATGCACAGAATCAGAGCCAAGTTTCTCTGATTCAACCCCACAGGCAGAGCTGAAAGCATTAACATCTGTGGCACCTCAGCCTTTGCAGACTCAGTGCGCCACACATTATGAGCCCAAAACCAACAGGACAGCTCTGTGCCCAATTAAACAGTCAGCTGGAAAGAATGTACAGAAGCAGGACTGAATTAAAATGTCATAGTAAAGATCATTTCAAAGCGGCGGAGCCTTTTTATCCCAGTTGATATTTGTTAAAACAAACAAAAGTATCTTCACCTCACATATCTGCATATGAGGATCGGGGTGAATTTCAAGAAGAACCTTTCTTCTGCAGGTTATTTTCAATTCAATCCAATTCAATTTTATTTATATAGCGCCAAATCACAACAAAAGTCGCCTCAAGGCGCTTCATAAATCACAAATGGTTTAAAATGCAACCTCACCTGGTGAAATTTGTCTGTTGGGCCTTTGTCCATCCCAAACTCAGAGACAAGACCAAGGAGAGACCCCAGATATGGCTCATTGGCTTCATGATGCTGCGTACAAAAAGCAAACCAGACCTTTTGCAGAAAAGGAAGATGGTAACAGGAGGCAAGAGGTGAAAGACAGAGGAGGAGGAAGTGGAGGAGACGGAGGAGGAGGCTCGGAATGGGCGGAGAGAATGAATGAGTAGGGGGGCAAGAATGGACGAAGAGATGGACAATAAGGATGAAAGGGCTAAAGTTGCAAAAAATAACCATGAGGGGGGGATGACGTGAGTGGGGAGGGACGGAGGAGAAGGCTTTAATTTGAGCCAGATGTTTCTTCCAGAGTAAGTCTGGTCTCAGTCTCAGTGAGCATCTAGGAAGGAGGAGCAAAGGGCTCCAGTATCAGAAGTCTGGAAAGTTTTGTTTCTGGATGTTTCTGGACCTTTAAATGCTTAAAAGTTCAGGAAAAATGAACTCCAGCTTGTGTCTGACTCCTGATTTCAGAGGGGGCACAGGTAGAGGCAAAGCCATAGGCTGTATGGGCTGTACGTGCACAGGAAGGCCCGTAAATCTTTACATTCCACAGCATAATATGAGACCTTTAATTTGCAAAACAGAATGTTTTTCTTAAAAAAAAAAAGCCTTAGTTGAATCAAAAATACATGTGGGAGTCAAAATAAGCTCTAATAGGAATGATAATAAACCTTATTTCCCCAAGCCCCAGGAGCTCCTTTGGCTCCATTGACTCAAGGACTGTTTATTTGCCACCAAGGCAAGAAAAACACTTGAGAGAAGGGAGTATCCTTTCTCTGTTGGGATTCAGTAATGAGCCAACTCTTTCGCCTGCGTTAGTGAGGCCTGTGGAGGGTACGCTGATGTAAAAATGATAACACTTTATGGACTACAAAGGTAGACATCTTAATCAAACTGTGAGGGAAAAGGTCCAGACAGTCTGTAAAATCTCAAAGATGTTTCCACAAAGAAGGTTTTTTTCTTTTCTTTCTTTTTTTTATGTTCAGTAAGATTTTATAGTTCAGATCTCATTGTGGCTTTCCAGATTGCTTGAAAGAGGTTTTGTACCACATGCTTTCCAAACTTTTGACAGATTTTGTGCTTGTCTGTTTTGCAGTTAGAGAAATGAGCATTCCCCAGTCGTGCTGTGTTGTGTTTGTGTTTAACCCCAAAGACGTTGATAAGAGTCAGCGGGGGA